GCTGCCGCCACAGCCGACGTCTGCACCAGCCCCCAAAGCAACAAAAACCCAAGATTTAGGGCCGATACCCGGCCCGAGAGCGGGCTCACAGCTTGAGGCGTGGCAACAACGAGTTGATCGCCTTAGGGCTTTGCATGATGTAGAAGTGCACCGAGGGCACTCCCTTATCCACCAGCTCCTGGGCCTGGCCGAGGGCCCACTCCACACCGATGGACTGGACCTGGTCTTTCTTGGCCTTCTCGATTTCGTCCGCCAACGCGGGCGGGATTTCGCAGTGGAAGGTCCGCGGGATGCTACGCAGATGGCGTTTGGTGGTCAGGATCTTGAGCCCGGGAATGATCGGCACCTCAATGCCCGCCGCTCGACACTTCTCCACGTACTCGAAGAAGTAGCGATTGTCGAAGAACATCTGGGTCACGATGTAGTCGGCACCGGCGTCGACCTTCTTCTTCGCCCATCGGATATCGGAGTCCAGATTCGGTGCCTCGAAATGCTTCTCGGGATATCCCGCCGCGCCGACACAAAAACTGGTCGGATCCGCGTCCAGAAGATCGTCTTCCAGGTATTGCCCGCTATTCATATCCGAGATCTGCTGGATCAGCTCCACCGCGTCGGCATTGCGGGTTCGGCCGTGGTCCAGGGGTTTGCGGTAGCCGGAATCGTCACCGCGAATCGCCAACACGTTGTCGATGCCCAGGTACCGCAGCTCGATCAGAAAATCTTCGGTCTCCTGGCGGTTGAAGCCTTGGCATAAGACGTGGGGAACCGCATCGACCTGGTATTTATTCTGCATTAAGGCGCAAACACCCAGTGTTCCGGGCCGTTTGCGTTTCACCCGACGGCGGATGCCCTGGGAAGTCTCTTCGTACATGACCTCTGCCGCATGGCTGGTGATGTCGATGAACGGCGGACGGTGCTTCACCAAGCTTTCGATCAGCCCGAGAAGCTGCTTGAGATTTCCCCCGCGCAAGGGTGGAATGATCTCGAAGCTGATCAATGGCCCGTCGGCCTTCTCCAAATGCTCGGTAACTTTCATATCGTCTCAATTCCCGTGAGTTGCTGATTCCGGCAATTCTAGCCCGAGCCGGGCTTAATCGCCCGCAACCTAGTCAGCCGCAAAGTGGTCCCAAAGCCAC